AGTATGTGAAAGAGTAAAAATGTTGTTTCATAATTACAGAAATCCTTTCCTGAACTAATCCATTTATTCAGTAGAAAATTATGCCACGGGAAATGCCCTACCACAGGATACCGGCATAATACTTTTTTTTTTACTCACGACATAACCTTCAAGAGAGTATTCTCTGAAGGAAAAAGAAAAAAAATGTATCAGTCCTATAAAAGAGGATAAGTTAATAGCTTAAAACTAGGTCTAAAAAAATATGCTACTTTGTTTTACGTCCATACTAGTACTTCCAAATAGAGAGTACATGGCTTGGCTGATGAACTGTGGGTAAACTTCGCTAAACTAACGACAAAAGCGTTCTAAACTGGTTCATAAATAAATTAATAATAATAGCACAATTTCTTTCTGCAATCAAGCAAAACTGTAAATGTGTTCTTGCAAGTACCTCTTTCAATGATATTCTTTTAAAATCGAGATGAACTACGATTCAAAATAGTTGAATAGTTGGGAGGGGGGAGGGGGGGCTACGTTTCACAAAATATCATATTATTCCATACACTTACACATTTCTTTTATTTTCAACTTAATCTCTCCGTTTTGGACACAGTACCATAACGTATCGATTCCTTCAAGTTAATACTTAACGTTCATAATACGAGAGGTAAGACTCATCACAATATAGAATACCAACCTCAAAAACGAGAATAGCACGTTGGATTACACTTGCTCATTATAACAGTCACTGCTTAAAATATCGATGACCTTAAAAGATCATTAGATTAAAGCATCACAAGTGAAGCATTTTTGATACCGGGAAAAATTATCACTGGTAAACATTTTTTCTTTTCTTTCTTTCCTGGAAAAGCACTCTACACACTTGCGGCAAACTTTCATATATATATATATATATATATATATATATATATATATATATATATATATATATATATATATATATATATATATATGCAATCGGCACTTCTAAGCTCATAAATTTCACCTGATAATAATAAGTGTTTTTAATCCTGATAAGGGTTGCGGATACAGCACAAAACCACTCGCATTCTTGGCTCTGCTCATTACTAACTTCCTTTCAAAAAATAGCGACCTGCTCAATCCACTCCAAATACAAACCAACATCTCCATCACTTCATAATCTCACCACCTCACACTCAACACTTAATCCTACGCAAAAAAAAGAGTTCGTTTTTTTTATTCCTGATAGGGGTCGCGGCTGCCAACCCACTTGCTCTCTTGACTCTGCTGATGCCCGTTCGGTCCCGTCGTGTAATAGGTCACTCGGAGGATCCCCAGTGGGTCTACGTAGCCGTGTCTGTTGCAAGGGGCGGAAAAAATGGTGTTAGCGTGATGCGTTGTGTCTAATGGGGGAGGAAATGGTGTTAGCTTGATGCCCTGTGTCTAATGGGGGAGGAAATAATGGGTTTTGGAGCGAATGTTAATGGGGGGGGGGGGGGGGGGGGGGGGGGGGGGGGGGGGGGGGGGGGGGGGGGGGGGGGGGGGGGGGGGGGGGGGGGGGGGGGGGGGGGGGGGGGGGGGGGGGGGGGGGGGGGGGGGGGGGGGGGGGGGGGGGGGGGGGGGGGGGGGGGGGGGGGGGGGGGGGGGGGGGGGGGGGGGGGGGGGGGGGGGGGGGGGGGGGGGGGGGGGGGGGGGGGGGGGGGGGGGGGGGGGGGGGGGGGGGGGGGGGGGGGGGGGGGGGGGGGGGGGGGGGGGGGGGGGGGGGGGGGGGGGGGGGGGGGGGGGGGGGGGGGGGGGGGGGGGGGGGGGGGGGGGGGGGGGGGGGGGGGGGGGGGGGGGGGGGGGGGGGGGGGGGGGGGGGGGGGGGGGGGGGGGGGGGGGGGGGGGGGGGGGGGGGGGGGGGGGGGGGGGGGGGGGGGGGGGGGGGGGGGGGGGGGGGGGGGGGGGGGGGGGGGGGGGGGGGGGGGGGGGGGGGGGGGGGGGGGGGGGGGGGGGGGGGGGGGGGGGGGGGGGGGGGGGGGGGGGGGGGGGGGGGGGGGGGGGGGGGGGGGGGGGGGGGGGGGGGGGGGGGGGGGGGGGGGGGGGGGGGGGGGGGGGGGGGGGGGGGGGGGGGGGGGGGGGGGGGGGGGGGGGGGGGGGGGGGGGGGGGGGGGGGGGGGGGGGGGGGGGGGGGGGGGGGGGGGGGGGGGGGGGGGGGGGGGGGGGGGGGGGGGGGGGGGGGGGGGGGGGGGGGGGGGGGGGGGGGGGGGGGGGGGGGGGGGGGGGGGGGGGGGGGGGGGGGGGGGGGGGGGGGGGGGGGGGGGGGGGGGGGGGGGGGGGGGGGGGGGGGGGGGGGGGGGGGGGGGGGGGGGGGGGGGGGGGGGGGGGGGGGGGGGGGGGGGGGGGGGGGGGGGGGGGGGGGGGGGGGGGGGGGGGGGGGGGGGGGGGGGGGGGGGGGGGGGGGGGGGGGGGGGGGGGGGGGGGGGGGGGGGGGGGGGGGGGGGGGGGGGGGGGGGGGGGGGGGGGGGGGGGGGGGGGGGGGGGGGGGGGGGGGGGGGGGGGGGGGGGGGCTACGTTTCACAAAATATCATATTATTCCATACACTTACACATTTCTTTTATTTTCAACTTAATCTCTCCGTTTTGGACACAGTACCATAACGTATCGATTCCTTCAAGTTAATACTTAACGTTCATAATACGAGAGGTAAGACTCATCACAATAAAGAATACCAACCTCAAAAACGAGAAAAGCACGTTGGATTACACTTGCTCATTATAACAGTCACTGCTTAAAATATCGATGACCTTAAAAGATCATTAGATTAAAGCATCACAAGTGAAGCATTTTTGATACCGGGAAAAATTATCACTGGGAAACATTTTTTTCTTTTCTTTCTTTCCTGGAAAAGCACTCTACACACTTGCGGCAAACTTTCATATATATATATATATTATATATATATATATATATATATATATATATATATATATATATATATATATATATATATATATATATATATATATATATATGTGTGTGTGTGTTATTGTGTACGTATGTATACGTGTATGTATGTGTGTGTGTGTGTGTGTGTGTGTGTGTGTGTGTGTGTGTGTGTGTGTGTGTGTGTGTGTGTGTGTGTGTGTGTGTGTGTGTGTGTGTGTGTGCTATGGCAATGTTATGCTAAAACCTTTGCATGCAAAACTTAAAACAATCAATTTTCATCGAAGTTAATCAAAACGGTGTGTCGTGCTTGCTCAATCCATCATTAGCCACGCTCCCCAAGGTTACGTGAATTAGTAACAGAGACACTCAGAGAACTCAAGGAAGTATTAATAAGTGTGATTATACTTACTTGCCGACTTTCGTTCCGTCGGGCAAAATCTTTTCCTTGTGGAACTGATTGCCCAGATCGTAATTGATGCTGTACGTTCCTGCTTCGGGCAGGCGTCTGTTAATAGGACCGTTATTAGGTGCTTCCGTCACCTTATCACCAGGTCGTTCAGTCACCAGGTCACGTGTCCTTTCGATTAATAGGTCACCCGTTCGCTGGACAAGGTGCTCCCTCGTGCTCTGTGTTCGCCGGCGAGGAGAGGAACTCCCCACTCTCACTGGCCTACGAGTTAGTGTCCCCGCCTCACCACTGGCCTGTGTTGCTGTCGTGTGGCTGGTTAGTTTGGTTGCTGTTCCACCGTGTCCTCTGTTTGCGTGGGTTGCCGGGTTACCTGTGGAGTCGCTGACGGTGGCCGGGTCTCGCTGCGCCTCACTCCCAGACTCTCCTAGGGGAAGGCCCTGCGGAGGGGCGTCGCCGGAGTCTGTGAAGGAGGAGGATTCTGCTGGTTAGGTTATTACGGTCGATAACATGGCAATGGGTAATGGGTAGTGGGAGAAGGGGTAATGGCGTCTTCCGGATTTGAATTAATAGAGATAATTCTATTGGACTGGTAACTGCTTCTTATGAGTTGAAGTTCTTGCTGATTTCCGTTCCGATTTTCCTTTTACTCGTGCAATATGCAATATGAATAGGTATAACATATATTGGGCCAACACGATCTCAGAATGCGTATCTTATTTTTCTGAGCATATCATATTGAAATCTGTATATATTCTAATATGCATAAAATGTATTTAGTGACAAAAAATGTGCTAGATTTTAGACAAGAATGCAAACAAAAATTGTGCGTTGGAACTCTACGGCAGCAACATGGATTTTCGTTTTAACTGATATACGGTCTGAGGACTGAGGACTGAATAGATATATATGTGTGAGTTTATGAATTTAAGGTCGAATGAAGTATCCAAGTGATATTTTTTTCTGTTACCGAACCGATAAGAGAAAAAAAATACACGGTGATAATCATAAATCTTCGATAAATGACAGATTGGTACAGACAATCACTTGGTAACTTACACCTTGGTTCTGATAATTATCCAAAATATAATGACATGGTACATCTTGTTTATATCTAATCATTACCAATATCTTAGGTTAAAAAATACAATATCAGTATCAAACAAATAGAAACACTGATGAAAATAATAAACACGGAGAGAGTAAGTAAAAAATATATGCATTATAAATTACACGAAATAAAAATTAAGAGCCACTATAATCTTTGTTAAGAATATTAAGAATAACGGCACTATATAATATAATGTTCTCTCTGCCATTAGTAACGAGTTAGAACTGCCATTCATTATCGCAGTTATACGAAATTTAGTTCTGCAAACATTTCAGTATGTTAATATTAATGTTGGTGTGCGTGGTAGTGTTTGATATTAATGTTAATGTTTATGCTATTGTTGGTGTCATTCTTAGTGTTCATTTTAGTGTTGATGTTAATTCCAATGTTTGTGTTACTGTTTCTCTTTGTGCAAATGTTTGTAATAAGTAGGATTAATGAAAAACAATTAATTCCTTACGAACAAGTTTGAATCCAACTTCCTTTCCACACGGGATACTGAGGTAAAACAAATATATTTAGAATTTACTAAATATTTTGTCTATTTAATTTTATAGTTTTCAATATTGAGTGCTTTATGTTCTTAAAATTGCGACAGATTAAAAAAAAAATTCTCTAATACTATGTCAGTGCTCCCTTGCCTGGAGTTCTCTCTCGGAACTACATCATGGCGCCCGTCAGGGTTTACTAGGATATGTGAATTTATCCTTACTTCATTTATCTATTTATTTTCTTATATATATATATATATATATATATATATATATATATATATATATATATATATATATATATATACATATATACATATATACATATATACATATATACATATATACATATATACATATATACATATATACATATATACATATATACATACATATATATATATATATATATATATATATATATATATATATATATACACACATATTTATTCATATATTTGCATATATTTGCATATATATATATATATATATATATATATATATACACATATATATAATATATGTATACACACACACACACACACACACACACACACACACACACACACACACACACACACACACACACACATATATAATGAAGCGTGCGTAAATTTTCATATACCTATGTTTTTTTGTTTTTTTTCTTCATAGGTCTGACGCCTTCCACCGTATATGCAAGACGAATCCTGACCAGATCCTACAACAGGTTAAGGGGCACTGATCTAGGCATTAAAATAGACTGCTATATTACCCCTAGATAACTAAACATCTATTGAACGATAATCCTAATATAACGCCTAGGTATTAGAGGGAGTTACAAGAGAGCAAACATGTGTTATTACCTAAAGCGCCAGCCGTGTTAGTGGTGGTGAGGTCAGGGTTAGTCTGCTTCCCAAGGTTGTTAACGCCTCGAGTGCCACCGCTCAGCTTCGAGCCGAACCCGAAGCTGTGGACATCGCTCTGCGGTTTCGACTCCTGCTTCGAGCTCTGCTGGGTCGTCGGGCGACGTCTGCTCGGGGTGAAGGTCGTGCCCCGCGTCGGCGCTCTTTCCTCGTTGGTTGCTGCTCCCTGTGGTCGTCGTCCCCACCGGGTGCTTCCTCTCCTGCGTGCCTTACCTGAGGTGGGAGCTGTCCCTCTCGGCGCCTGAGGTCGTCTGATCGGGGAGGTCCTCTGCGGGGTGTACGAGGGCTTGGGCGTGGGCGTCCGTACCACGGACACGGACAACCCAGGCTGATCCCTCACGCTCGCACGACTCGGTGTCCTGAAGGAGGAGGGCCTGGAAGGATTTCTCCTCACAGGGGCGTCGGTCACCGGTGCTCGCGGCTGCTGGGCCATCTTGAGGGTCTTCTTCCGCACGATGCGGTAGCCGCTGAGGTCGGCGACGTAGTCGTAGAGGCGCAGGAGGCCCGTGGCGTCGACCCAGCCGTATGTGCCGATGACCGTGCCGTCGTCCAGCCGCTTCTCCTTGCGGTACTGGCCGTCGTAGGTCTGGTACCTGCGGGAGGGAGGCGGTCAGGGCGGCGAGGCAGAAGAGGGCATAGGGCAGTGACAAGGGAGAAGAAACGAACATTATGAGAATGAAGAAATCAAACATCCTCGGGGATGAGGGCCAACGAACACAGATTAAAACGGGCATTAAGAAATAAGGATAAAAATCACTACAACTTTATTAGGGTAACAAAATGGTGTAAAGAAACAAACACAAAACAAAACAAGGCCAATGTGTTGCAGGGGAAGGGTGGCTTCAGACTCCGACCTTATCTTATATAAAAACCTTGCAGTCAAAATCAGAAAAAAAATATCTTAGTCTAAATAAGAAAACAATATTTTTTATTCAGAATGACAATAAAATGCCTGCTTTAGTCAAAACCAGTGCGAGAAAATTGCCCTTTTAGCCAAAATCAGAAAATGAAAAGAAAATGTCCCTTTAGTCTGAGGAAATGTAATTTCTAACTTAAAAAAGAAAGTTTTTCATTAATCTTTCACCTTTCTGAAAATCTATTCACGTTTCTGCAGATGCACGAAATAAGTTTGATGACAAGCACGGAATAAAGTGACGATAAAGAATAACATTGATACCAAAATCATGAATAAAAAAACATCCCTAAGACATACGAGATAGTGCAATTAAAAACACGATGGGGATAATAAATAAATAACTTAAAAATATATATAGATAATCCTAAGACTGGATAGAATGATACTGGAAAAAAAATGTTGATAAGTAAATAAAACAAATAGGGCTATAAAGTAGAAAGTGTCATAAAAAAATATGATGATAAAATAATAAATATATTAATAAAACTAACTAGAGTAAACACAAAGCACTGAAGATCAAGTGGACAATAAATGATGATCATATGAATAAAACAAAATAAAGGACACCGAAGAGATGGAGTTATAAGAGAAAGAAAACGAAAATTCTGTCAAAATCGTGAAAACAGCTATGCAAATACAGAAGTTAAATATATATTACATAATACAACACTGGGAATTGAGGCTCCAATAAGGAAGTTGAAGTAAGACCAATGAAAACACGTGAAAAAGAAAAAGGAAAACGAAAATGAATTTGAACAAATATAGAAGCGAAGAATGGCTATGTTGACGAAGAATACAGAGGTGAGAAGAGAAAACAAGAATTTGAAAAATGAAATGAAAGGTGAAAAGGAAAAAAAAAACTAATGATAGCAAACCGAAGATTGAGAATAGACAGATGATGACGTAAGAAAAACAAAATAAACCAGGAAGAAATTTCAAGAAGGATTACGCGCCTATATATATAAAAAAAAAAAAATGAAAATGAACTACGGAGAAAGGAGCATTTAGGTAAAAAAAGGTGTTCTTGAAAATAAAGGTAGATAAATGTAGGGATAGTCTATATATATAAAAAAATAGAAGGACTGGAACTTGAATACTGAATAAGCATGAATGACAGAATATGGTTAAGCCGGAAGACGGGATTAGAGAAAAAGGATTACTCAACCGGTAGAAAGGTTAATGAAACGCAAACAAGACGAAGGAAGAAAGAAAGAAAGAAAAAAAAACATTCTTGCATATTTATATTAATTTTTCAACGTTAATATTTCGAGAAATGACTGAAGCCGAGCGATGATTTAAAACAAGAAAAAAAGGAGGTCAAATGTGCTTGTAAAAGAAGAAAGACCGTTAACCAATATATCCCGCCCACACACACACACGCACACGCACACGCACATTGGATAAGACGTTTGGCGCCCGCCCGCCCTGCTCGGCGCTGCGGGCGATGGGTGTAGTCACTCTATTTAAGGGCGTGAGGGGGAGGTGGGGGGGGATCACCCATGCTGATCCACTTCATCCCTCCCCCCCCACCTATCTCCTTCCCGCCCACCCTCCCCCCAAACATCCCTCTCCCGCCTACCTTCCCCCATACCCATCACCCACCCCCTCCCCACCTCCCCCCCTCACCCTCGCCCATGCCCTCAGCCATAACTGCCCATTATTCCTCTTCGCAGCAACTGGGCCCCTGGCCGTCCGCGCCCACTCGCCCTGACCTGTCGTCGCCCACGCTGGGGAGTGCTCGCTCGCCCACACGCACAAGGCCGAGGGGAAAAAGAGCAGGAAACCCACATACACCTGCATACACAAAAAATCACACACACATACACACACACGCACGCAGACTACCAAATAAACAAATGCACGCGCACACACACACAGACACACACACACACACAGACACACACACACACACACACACACACACACACACACACACACACACACACACACACACACACACACACATATATATATGCATGCACGCACACATACATACACGTACCCAAGCAAGCACACACAAAAACACATACCGAGAGTCAAATTATGTTATGAGGAAGTCGAGAGGAATTTATACACAAGAGATTATACACACCAGGTATTTCACACACATATTTATCGCTTGATCGACTCTCTTCTACTGATTCGTCAATTCTCTAAATTTTGCTCGATCGCCTCACAGGTATGCAAAACTATTATCATCCTAAGAAAATACAGTTAGTGCATGATTGCATTTTCCCTGAGAGAATCCTCGCGTTGATCACACCAGTTTGGGTGAAGTATCGGCTAATAATTCAACGTAACCGTCCCGACAGATGGCACCACGGGAGGACTCTTTCTATTAGCGTTTTCTACGTCCAGATGGCGAAGTGCAGACTACTCAGATATGCAATGTTGGAAGAACACCCAACTTTCTTAGCGAGCATATTTTGGCGTCCTGAGAAGTATAGCATGCTCTTAGCAGACCATGATTATACGTCACACGTCGGATTCCCGGGCTGCATGCGTCGCGAAACCTCTTATTTCCGAATAATGTAATGGCGGGTCATCACTCGCTCCTTTCTCTTGAGAGACCTCCTGCAGGACTTTGGTGTCTACCGTTATAAAAGAGGGAAAAAAAGTAATTTAGAATATGCCCTTATTTGGGACTGCCTCCTTTGCGTACCGTAGGTGTGGGCGCGGCTTATAATTTTAAAGAACCGGCTAATTGACCAACTTGCCCGAGGCTTACAAGTAGTAGTCCGCCCATTAAATCCGGGTTACAGAGCAGGATCGCCGGTGTCGAGTCGAAGTGGAGGCTCGCGGCCTCGTCCTCTTACCTGAAGTATCGCTCGGATCCATCGTCCGTTTGGATGTGGTACTGCACCGGGTCTTCGCTGTAGCTGGACACGCCCACCACACAGAGCACACCCACAGTCGCCTAGGGGAGCAAGAGGAAGAATATATGAGAAGAGTAATTTGCATACTTAATAGAAGACAAACACGCAGAATGTACACTTTGTATACACTGTGAGCTGAATGCGAAATAACAACATTCAGCTCGCTTTACCTTCGCTCCATTTAATATATAATGGCTACATGTAAACAATATATGAATGTTTGTACCCGCGTACCCTCTCCCTCACCTTGAAAACACGAAGGGCAAGGCAACTCGAAACGGGTGACGTAATCTCGTCCAGCCGACCCTTTGTAGTGCTAATATGAACTCCCTTTTCATACACTAGGTTTTGGAAAGTACGTCATTGAAACGAAGTCTCCATTGTGCCTTGTAATTACTCCAGTAATTATCTAACTCCTCCTGCTTTGAAAACAGATTTAGGACAGCGGCACGTTCAAGGCTGTGCCTCGGCTGCCATTATTGTGCAAAAGAAGCTAGCAGAGTTAAGATGTTTATGTGGCGCAGCTCCGATATCCCCGAACGTTTACGCGGCGTAACGACGCCGACGAGACAATAAACATCAACACTAAGCCCTCATCGCCGTAAGATCTTAATAGCCAGCCACGGAGGCGCGATCGCCCGCCAGCCCCCGCGGAAGAAGGAAGGGATCGCCAGCAACTCAGACAAGAAGCTTCTCCGACCACTTGAAGGACAGTCGATGTAAATAGTGGCCCCGAGTCGCTCCATATAAGACGGCAGTAGTTATCACACATGGTTGCTGCGTTTTGGTTCGCCACGCACGTACATGCACGCCCGCGCCCTTGCCACCACGACGCCATTAGAAAGAAGATGGTGTGTTTTGCTTGTGTGTGTGTGTACGTGAAGGATTGTGTGTGGTTACGGGTGTTTATAATGTGTCTGGGAGAGAGAGAGAGAGAGAGAGAGAGAGAGAGAGAGAGAGAGAGAGAGAGAGAGAGAGAGAGAGAGAGAGAGAGAGAGAGAGAGAGAGGGAGAGGGAGAGAGAGAGAGAGAGAGAAGGTTGGTGGTGAATATGAGTGTTCACGCACGAGTAATACAAGTTAGTGCATACGTACATGTAATTATCCATTTACGCCAGAGAACAGACTATTCAAAGGTTTCATGAGAACCACTAACGCAATACCAGTACACCAAAATCCAAAATTCCAAATCACATGGAAAAAAAGAACTAGACAAGGGCGAATAAACAACCACAAAGCAGGCGAAGTAAAGTAAACACAGTAAACAACTCAGTCACCAATCCAAACAACCGCACAGCTCCATTCACGAAGGACAGGTCGTCAAAGCAAGACTTCCTACATGGATTGGGGGTGGAGGGGAGGAGGGGGGGAGGGTGTTAGGGGAAAGGGGGGGAGGGGGGAAAGAATCCGTCCCTTTTCGCATAATCCACACAGGGCAAGGATCCCCGTGGGAAAAATTCTTGACTCTTCCCGCATCGAGACCCTCACTCAAGCAGACTTTCATGAGCTGCTGATTGGGCTGCGCGGACCCTCCACAGGTGTTCAGGAGGCGAGTCATTGCCTTTCCTCCCTTTCCCTCTGGTCTATTTCCCTTTCTCTATCGTTTTTTTTCACCTTTTCTCTCTTTTTCTTTAGTTTATTTCTCTTTCTCTTTTTTTTCTTTCCTCCCCTTTTATCTCTTTCTCTTGGGTTTATTTCTCCTCCTTTGTTTTCCTTTCCTCCCTTTCTCTTCGGTTTATTTCCCTCTAATTTTTCCTTATATCCCTTTCTCTTCGGTTTAATTCCCTTTCTCCCTTTTTTCCCTTTCCCTTCTTTTCTTCTCTTACTATTTTTTTTCCCTTTCCTACCTTTTCCTTTGATTTATTTCTCTATTTCTCTTCCTTTCACTTGTCTCCTTTCTGTCTTTTTTATTCTCTTTCGTCTCCTTCCCTTCCGTTCCCTTCCTTTCCCTTCAGTTTATCTCCTTCTCTCTCTCTATCCCTTCTCTTCCTTGCCCTTCAGTTAGTTCCCTCTTTCTCTTCCTTTCTTTTTCTTTTCTTCTGTTCCCTTCAGTTTATTTTCTTTTCCCTCTTCCTTTATTTTTCTTACTTCCCTTTCCTTTCAGTTTATTTCCTTCTTCTTCTTCCTTTCTTTATCTTTTCTTCCGTCAATTTCCCTCTCCCTTTTCCTTTCTCTTTTCTTGCTTCTTCCTCCTTATCTTCTCTTCCCTTCCTTTCTTTTCTTCGTTGTTTGCTGCTTTTTGTCCATTTCCCTTCAGTCTGTTTCCTTCTTTCTCTCCCTTTCTCTTTTCGTTTCTTTCTGTTTTCTTCGTCACTTTGTTTTCCTTCCTTACCCTTTATTTTTCTCTTCTTCCACTTCTTTCCCTTTCTTCCGTTTTATTCTCTTTGTCCTTTTCTATTGTATCTGTTTTCTTTTTTCCCTTCTTTACCATATCATTGCTCTTTTATTTTGTTTTCTTCTACCTCCCTTTCTTATGTTCTATTTTTCCCCCTTTCCATTTCTCCCTTCCTTAGCTCTTCTTTTCTTTATCCCATTTTCTTCCTTTCATTATATGTTTCTTTTCTTTCCTTCTCTTTCTTTTATTTTGTTCTTCTCCTGTATTTTATCCCTTGCTTTACTTTATTCGCCTCTTCTTTATTATTATCTCTTATTTGTGTATCTTTATTTTATTTTTTTTTTGTCTTCTCTTTTTACTAATTTCCTTCTTCCGTATATTTATTCCATTGTTCTTTTTCTTATTTCTCACTGTTTTATTTCATTATCCCCTCCATCTTTAATTCCTCTTTCTGCTTTTTTTTTTCCCTGCTCTTTATATTTCTCTTTTTACCCTCTTTTTCTCGCTTTCTCCCTTATTCGTTTTCTCACCTTTCCTCTCTCCGTCATTACTCAATTCTTCCCTCCCTATCC